TGCGTGGGACACATATCCTCCTACAGACACACAATAAGAAACAAGGCCTATGTGACGAGTGCAACAAAATAAAATCGATGAAGCAAAGGAGGTGGTGCCAGGAAGAGCCAAGGCCTGCAGCGGGGAGGGCTGCACCAGGCTGGCCCTGGGGCAGCGGAGGGGAGGGGCGGGGAGGGGCCCAGACAGTCCCAAGGTGGCAGCTAAGAACAGGGAGGGAACTCACATCAAAGGGGCTTCACACTTCATTTTACAGGAAAAAATAAGAGAGCAGCTCATGACTTCTAGGCCCTCCTAGACACTAAGAGTCGAGTACTAGTGATCCCACTCCCCCTTACATTTACTGCCAAGAAACAGGAAGACATCACAAGCTCAGCGCAGGCAGAGCAAGGAGGGGGCCATGCAGGGGGCGCCCTGGGCATCCACTACCCGAGGGACTTCAGGCCATTGATCCCATTTCCCTGAGTCTCGGTTTCTGCATCTATGGAGCGGCAGTAATGACGCCTATGTGAAGGCTTTTGTGACAGCGGGCTGAGGTGCACAGGTGGAGCTCCACCCACAGTGCTTGGCACCTTGAAAATGATAGTTAGACGCTATGTAAAGACAGAAAAGTCACCCCAGGGAAGCAACTCTGACAGTCACAAGTAAATGTCTGTCTCCTCCAGGGAAACCCTTTGAAGGCTTCCTGTCATTTCTCTTCAAAATGGTCACCGACCCTTGTGTTTGGTTTGGACTGTGTTCAGTCCAACATACCAACTACTTTTTCCAAATTTGTTCTCAAGAAGCCTCCAAAACCCCAGACCCGCAGCTCCTGGTAACAGCAGATAGTGGGTAGTGGAGAGAGACGTGAAGGTGACAGCGAGAGCTGGGAAGGGAACTGAATTACTCCGTGTCCTCGGGTCTGCAAAGCTGGTTCATGGACTGCCATCTCCATCCTTGAGACTATGCCCCCTCCCTCCCTTTCAATGTTGACAATGTTGCAAGGGCCCTTGAGGGGTCACCTTGTCCATCTCTCTGACTTAAAGTTGGGTGGGGGATATCTAAATCCAGGGTGGTAATTGTTTAGGGGAAACAAAGTTAATTTAATTTTGTCAAGCTAGCAGAGGTCAGTCAATAAGGGGCTGACTTGACTGAAATGAGGCCAGTTCTGTATGAATTCACATTTGGGTCAATAAATCTCAGGACTACAGATACCCTCACTTCACACTGTCTTCTAGTTTATTATCACCAGAATTTAGACAAGCACAAACACTCTGGGGACTACAATTACAGAGACTGGCCTTGACTACACTTGGACCACCAGGATCGGCTGGCTGCCCAGTTAGCACAACACCCTACAGATACAGGGAGCTCAGCTCTCAGAGGCAAAATTAATGATCAGCACCCAAGTCACATCTGGGTCAGATCAAAGAATAACTGATCTTCCCTCAGCTCATGAACTTCCACTGCTTACTCGCAGATACCCAACTGCCCACTTACTTATTCATATATCACTTAGTAAGAACAAAAAAAATGACTATGCCATTGACTATTTATATATAATTTTAAGTCAATTACTCTCAGGTACTTTGCTTTTTCTCCAGAAGAGGTGAAGAATGTATCTGTAATCACTTGTCTTAAGATAATATAATTTCATTTTAGGTTTACATAAAAGATTTTAGGACTTGGCTTTTTGAGTGTTTAAAAACAAATTATTTTTTTCTTTCCCAAACATTAAGTCAAACGGTTAGAAGGAGATTCAAAATGTACAATAATGTGCTAGGAAACCAACTCTCTGTGGGAAATGTCCTGCATTTTTAGCTCCTGCTGATTTCTTTGACATAAATATTCTTCAACATGGCCGACTTGAAGCTACCGATGGTTTAACAACCAGCTCACACATTCCTGACAGCTTAACAACTGGCTCCCAGCTCCACAAAGAGTTGACTGGTTTCAGATTCCTTCCAAGCCTTATCTCTTTTCTGACAAGTAAACTCAGTTGTTAAGCCACTAAAAAATATGAATTTCATAAAATATCACATTTAAACAGGTTTTAAAATAGGTGTTTTATCCTAGGTATTCATTAAAAATCAGATTATAAAAGAATATTTAATCATGTAGAAACATTTATGAAGTACTTTAAGTAAAAACCATGTGTCCAATATGATTCCAAATTTACATATAAAAATGACAAGGACATACCCCATAAGTGAATAATTAGTTTTAGTTGTTATATGTATAAGTTTGATTTTCTTTTTTGTGGTATTCTTCTATTCAACAATTTTTCTGTGGTGTTCATATACTGTATTTATAAGTAGAGAAAGAAGTCCACTAAGTGTTCATATGTTTTTAAAGATGGTATTTTAGATCTTTTCTACATCCACGGAATCTTAAGAGTAGACTGGCTAGAAAACTGAATCAGATTAACTCTATTCAAACAAGGCTAAATCTTTGTCAGTTATTTTTGTGATGCTTTAATATAATTTTCAAAGTACTGTATAAGCATTAACTTTTTTTCTTCTAAATACTGTATTTGATTCAACACTTAAAAAGACAGTTCAGTCTGTAAATAACAATTTTATATCGAATGAGATATCTTTCTTCCTTCTAATGAGTTTTGTTGGGATATATATATATATACGTATTTTCTTTTTACATTTTTTAAAAATTAAGGTATCTTTGATACACAATCTTACGAAGGTTTCACATGAGCAACATTGTGGTTACCACATTCACCCATATTATCAAGTCCCCCCACACCCCATTGCAGTCACTGTCCATCAGCGCAGTGAGATGCTACAGTCACTACTTGTCTTCTCTGTGCTATACTGCCTCCCCCAAGATATGGAAACATTTATGAAATTCTTTATGTGTGCTATATACCTACTTAAATATCTACCTATATTACGTGTGCTAATCATAATGCTCCTTAATCCCCTTCTCCCACCCTCCCAACCCCTTCCTTTTGGTAACCGCCAGTCCGTTCTTGGAGTCTGTGAATCTGCTGCTGTTTTGTTCCTTCAGTTTTGTGTAAAAGCATTAATTTGATTATCTGTGAGGCAAGGAAAGCAGGTACTTGTTTTACAGATGACAGAACAAGAGTTGCCAAAATGATTATGATATGTGTGGTGTCACGTGGCTAAAAAAGCAGTTAAACTGGGATCCTGACCCAGGATTTCTGATACATCTGAGATCTTCCCTCAAAAACAAGCTGAGGAGGCTTCACTCCTGGCTCCTCTATTAAGAAGCTCCTACTGAACATCTAGACCCAATTCTCAAGGAGGCACTTGGCTGGTTTTGCCCATTTTAAATGCTCCAAGCTGGACTGGAATCAGCCAGAGAGGGTGCACCCCAGCCAAGCACTGAGCTACACGGAACAATGCCCACAGCAAGCTCTTAGCTTGGTAATTTATGAACATGACAGGGAATTTGCCGAGGACAGAACCCACACCCTGCAATGAAAACTGTATACAATGTTCTACAGTCATATTTACAAGAATCTTTAAAGGCCACATAACCAGCTCTGGTACGTGTCCATAGAGGCTCCCTGAAGAACTGGGGACTAGTCCTTACGGGATGGCCAGAGGAACACTTTCTGGGCAGATCCTGTCTGAAGCCTTTTTGTTGGGTCCTGTGTGATCTGGGTTGGAATGTCTGTTTCTTGCCTCAGGACCCTCATTCCTGCCCACAGGAAATGCTTTTTCAGGGCTTGGTAATCACTAACAACAGCACATTGTGTTTTCCAGGTATGAGGAATAAGAACTCACTGCCCCAAGTCTTACAGGATTTAGTATGTGCGTCTACAGCGCAAGATGAAAGAGCTCTCTGATGAGACCTCATGCAGTCAGGGAAGCCAGGCCACAGGCTTCAGGGGAACAGGTGGCCCCAGCAGAGGGGGACCCTGAGTGAGGGAAAAGGCCCCTTTCCTTCTGCAAGGGTCACAGTGCAGCACACAGGGAGGACAGTGCAGTCCCACCTGGACCCCTCAGGGTGGCAGTTTGGGACCCTCAGGCCACCCCTTCAGTGACAACACAGGCAGAGGGCAAAGACAAGGACTTTGCCTTATGAAACATAGTTATGTCCTGGGATTCACTTTTAGATGCTTCAGGGAAGACCATGGGACACCAATGTGTGTGAGCTTTCCACACGCGCCCCAGGGGTGGGCAGCTAACTTGTCTGAAGGCTCCCGACCGGAAATGCAGCTCCAGGACGGTGAGTTGGCACTGCAAAGGCCAATCAAAGGCCCCACCCCAGGAAGCCACTGAGGCACCAAGCTGGGCTTCCCTCTTGATCCACAACAGAGGCTGAGTCAGCACTTCACTGGTAAAATGAGTAGTTTCCAAGATGTGTGGATTGGCTAGAAATACTGTTCCGGTATGAACAGGGTAGAGCATTTAGGGAGCCAAACTCCCTCCCTCTTTGTAGCAGCCCTAAAAATGATCGCTGGAGGATCCTGTTGCCCACACAACCAAAAGTCAGCTGCATTTTCCTGTTAAAATACTCCCCCATCTGTCCTGAATGAGCTTTCATGCAAGGGGCCATCAAAACACCTAAGAGCACAGACACTGGGGACTTCACCGAGCCTCCTGTGACAAGGCGTCCGTCTTGCTGCCGGTGGGCACAGAAACATGCTTCCCCTGAGCCACATTCTACCTGGTTACGAGTTTGTGAGAAAGGAGACCTAGAGGGCTCAGTAACCTCTAATAACCAGGAACTGTTGACAATCTACCAAAAAGAACTCAGTAATTGTACATAATCCAGTTAGTTTGACTTTGAACCTTTAGTTATACCTTTAAGTATTCTCAGAAATGATTAGGGAACTCTGAGAAGAAACTGAGTTGAGTTACTCACAAGTAGTTAATACCAACAGGAAAAAGCCTGGGAAATTTGGGGTTATCTTTATGTTACTGAGCAGGCCTACCACCGTGCCATTCCCAGTAAATGTGTGGAAGTCATGGCACCAGGATTTCTTGAGCTCAGTTAAATACCACAATTCAGTTTTGTAAACATCAATCTTAAAGCACTTTGTTTTAATCTTTATTCTCTTGCTGATTTTAAAGATAACAATGACTAATACACTCTTATAGAAAATTGGAAAACTGAAAATTCCCCCAGAGTCTCATCCTGAGATGACAACTACTCTCTTTGGCAAATATTACTCCAGATTTTTTTTGGCATATATTAGTAAATAAACAGGATCAAGTAGAATTCTAGTACTATATAATACATGCTATTCTGCTCTCATTCAAGTTTTGAAATGCTTCTGACAAGTATTTCAACTACCAGTTTCACCCGAGAGCTTAATGCTTTAGTTTTCAGAGATTCCACCATACAGTGGGTGGATGTGGATAACCTCTAAGATTTTCTTACTATTCAATATTAAATATTGTTCAAAGTATTCAAAGAGAAATAAAGTTAAAAAAAGGAAATGAAGAATAATGAATTTGATACAGAGGAGAAAACAATCCAAACAATCATTTCTTATCAAAATAAAAAATCCTAAATTCCAATTTCAGCAAGTATCATAAAATGGCTTTGGAATTTGGATTTAGGAAATAACCATCTGTTTGCATCAACAATACCCAGAAAAGCAGGTCTACCATCCTCTCCAGAGAAAGCACGTAGGCAGCCATGCAGAACTCCATCCTTCCTTCTGAGTGACTGGAAGTGGTAACAGGAGCTGCTGTGTGTGGCAGAGCTGTCCGCTGGGGGTTGGGGGCCAACAGGGGACATGGGACATGGAGATTTCAGTTTTGACAACCAGTAAAGGAATACTTTGATTCAACTTCCCACAGCTTCGTTTGTAATACTTTCAAAACATCTTCCATCTATTGAAATGGAGAAATATTTTAAATTACAAATATGATTAAAATTACACATAATTATGGTTAAAATATACATCATTAAAAAAATTTCTGAGAATGTTAAACATTACACATAGATATTCAGTGTTTATGTAATGAAATTAGAGGCATAAACTAAGACTTATTTAAATAAAACACAACCATATTAACAGCAGTTCTCAACCTCTAATCTGTAGCTCTTTCATACATCCATCACCATCTTACTTATCTGGCCATGAGATGTTAACATTAAAAAATAAGGCTGTTTATACCATGAGAACTGAATTAAATGAAATATGGATTTGATTCAAAGACTTATTTCTAGTTAAACAGTTTTAGAATAAATACTGTTTTCATTTTGGCAAGAAATGTCTTCCTTATTATATTCCTGATAAAGCTTTAGTTTAAATTATACTGATTCCCAAAAAGTCAACTTTAACAACAGAAATAAAGCACTCTCTTGTTTTATTTGTGGAAGTGCTAAGATCAACACAGAGGCATTGTGAAGATTCCTTGCAGAGGAGCACCTGTTCACTAACAGGAAGTGGTTCATACAAATGTACTAGAAGTACAGAACAAAATTACCTGCTCTAGAGATTTTTCTATTTCAGCTCTGCTTTCCAGATTAAAAAGCTCTTTATCTTCTGACACAATCTGCTTTCCAGAGGACCCTAAACTGTAACTGAAGGAAAGCAGAGGACAGGGTTAATACACGAAAAGGGCACAAATGTTAAATTTATGTTACCTAATAATAGTAAAACTCTGGGAATATTACAGTAGGTAATAGTACCAAGTAAACACAAAATAACAATTTTTATTAAAAGCAACTTACATAGGAAGCTGTACTACATAAAATCACTTCTCCCCTTCACAGCCTTGTCCAGGTATGCCTATAAATTCCCAAAATTCGGTACTTCCTGATGGGAACAAACTTACTCTTTAGTAAGCTGAGAGGCGAAACATAAATGCTCGTAATTCAAAATTCCATTTTGAAGTTCAAAAAGCCATTTTTTTTGCTTTATATAACTTTGGGGATCATGTGTGCTGTCAAGTTTAACTTAATTTGTGGAGCCAACTCTTGATTACCCAGGGCAACTTAAAGAGTTATCCTCCCAGTTATGTTTTGCTTGACTCTCTGGACTTAGGAGATGCTGTGGTTTAGAAAATAACAGAAAACTGGCCAGGCAGCTGGAAGAAAACATGTCTACCACTGGACTGTTAAATAAACCAAATACATCTGTACAGTCAGGAAGAAAGTGCTGGAAGAAAGTACAGTCAGGAAGAAAGAAAGAAATCAAAAGGAAACTTGATTCTTTTGCATTACTTTAGAAGTCTTTTATCATCTGCAGCAACTTCAGTGTGTCACTTTTTTTGTCAAATAAGAACAGTCTTCTCTTGGAAGTTCTATTGACTATATTTCAAAAAAGGACAAGGCAGGCAAAACTGCAGAGGGTTAACATTCTTTTTTAAGAAAAAATGAGATGAGGTAGAAAAATTAAATGGCATTAAGTAATTTATAAAATTGCAAATAAACAGTACAAAGGAACCACTTCTAGAACCAGCCAGGTTCCTTGGCATAAAAATTCTGCTCCAAGAGTAACTTCTACCCTAAATTTTAAAATACCTTCAATACTAAGGGCTCCCAGGGCAAAAATCTGCCACACACTTCTTTGGGCAGATGTGGGTCACTTATGAAAGTGCTGTGCAAGCCCCGGATTGAGAGCTCACATCTTCTGTACTTGCTCGCTCCCTCACTGGGTTTTCACAGGTCTGGTAAAACTCTCACGGACATTAAGGGAGCCCCGCTTGGGCCTGAGTCCCCTACCCATATGTTAAAACCAAAAGAGACCTGGTCTCCCTCCACACAGACCTACATGCTTTACAATGAGCAGCACTTGCTGTACGCTATCACGTAAGAGCTGGGAAAGGCAGAGAGTTCAACATTTTGATGTAAACCTGTCTAGTTTCAAAGGAGGTGGCAAACTGCAGTTACCAAAGAATAATCAGATGAGAAGTCATAATGATAAGAAAAAGAACTGTTTTAAATTGTTAAAAATCTAAGCAATTCCACAGGAGTGACAAACATCAAGTAATAAAAGTGTAGCACTTTCTTTTCTTCTTAAATTGTTCTTCTTTCCTGAAATAAAAGGTTTCTTAGGTACTTTAAAGTGTTGAAAGTTATCTCTTTTCCAGGAGAATGAAAATATACTGAGGTCAATTGATTTACTTAATTTTGTGTTTCCTATTAAAAAAGGCTAATGAACTGGAGGCTGCTAAGATAATTGAAATTCTGTATCTGACATCTGTCATCAGCCCCTAACTCACCTTGTTTCCTGATATTTACCTTTTAGAAATCTTGGAGAGTGAAGGCACTTCCTTGCATCTCTCCTTAAAAAGCAGATGATTCTGTACTGCACTCAAGGAAAAAGTTAGACTTCATATTTCTACTTCTCCTGAACACCAAAGGGACTTCTTTCCTAACCAGTTTTGAAATCCCTATTTTTTCACGAAGTGGCTAAAAACTGTAGGAGATGGGAGGGAATAAAATAGACAATACATACTGATTCACACAATTGCTTAAAGAAAATCCTATTAAACTAAATTCAATTTTTAAGATCAACTGAGCATATTTATACTATGAAAAATATTCTCATGGTATTTGCTCCTTGAAATTTAGAATGTGTGCTTTTCCCAATAGCAAATAAATCAGGTCAAAACAAAAACATCATTCTGGCTTTATTGTCAGAAATTATTATTTTGACCAAACAGTATTGATCTAGTTCTGATGTTTTCATGCCAGATTCTCCACAGAAAGCTTTCTGAGAAATCAGTTACGAGGTAAGCACTTATATCAAACTTGCCTTTCAATGGCTTCAACACTCAGGCAGAACAGGTCCCTCTTGTAGTCTAGGTGCGTGGGGGTGCATCTGTACACATAGCCGAGACTGAGGGAGCACCCGGTGCAGTACAGAGCCTCCAGAACGCTGCAGTAAAGAACCGCCATTGCTGAGCAAAACAGAGCAGCAGGCTGTGCTGACAAAGTCCCGCTGCCAACACCCATAGACACTCAACATTTAAGTCGCTACAATACAATTCTGTGACCTTACAAAGCTATATGTATAAAGAAGGGGAAGAAAACGATAACAAAATGTTTATATTGGGAATGTAGACAGTCACCTTCAGGCTACACCACCTTATGCACCTAGGGACAAGGGATACATACAAAAGCGACAAGAAGAAAGGATATCAAAGCGGTGTTTTTTTAGAATATAAATCCTCAATTTGGTATCATGAAAAATTATCTAAATTTTGGAAGTAAGACAAAAAGATTCTACATGCCTTTTTAAGGTCCTAGTATCCAACAAGCCCACTAAGAATCACTAACACTCTGGACAGAGGGTGGCAAATTTTTCTATAATGATCCAGAGAACAAGTATCTTAGGTTTGAAGGTGATACGGTGTATGCCACAATGATTCACATCTACAACTGTAGCACAGAAGCAGCCATAGACAAAACATAATGGAATAGATGCTGTCTGTATTGCAATAAAACTGTATTTATAAAAAAAGGTATGAGGGCCATAATTTTCTCTAGTGGAAGGTAAGATTGTTTGCTTATTACTATTGATTACGGCCCAGATTCTCTAGATGATGACTTATAGAATGAAAATTGTAAAAAAGTTACAAATAATTTTAGTCTGGTAGAGATGCAAATATTTTCTGCTTGTACAAAAGATAACCCCAAAGGTTGGAGCTTTACTGTCCCATAATTAGGTGCCCAGAGAGAATATCCTTCTCTGATCAGCTTGGCCACATTCTGCCTACCTCATTAAGGAGTTAAATAAATCTTTGATGTCTGCTCAGTGTGTATTTGTTTAGTTGTCTTTTTTTTAAAATTATGCTTTAGCATTAACTCTTCTATCAACCACAGATATGTGCCACATAGGCAATTCACAGATATTTTACTTAGTAATCCAATTTTTTGAAAGAATTGTTCTTTCATTCCAGTTACTTCTCAACTTAGGGTTCTGCATCTTTCAATATACTCTCCCCACCTGATGTGCCAACTTATATCTTCTTTAACCTTGGAATACAGTGTCTCCCAAATGACTTGTCAAATTAATCCTCCCAAATCTACCATTCTATAAATATCTACACTAAAATTATAGTCCTAACATACAGCAAGTTGATAACTGAAGATTTAAATCTAATAATGCTCACAATAATGTAATATACACCACAAAAGATAGCTATTATCTCAAAAGGATTGTAATTCCTATTGGTATATGAGTCACTGTAGTAACTAAATAGCTACCCCTGCTATCAAGCAAAACGGAGTCTACCAAGACTCAAACAAAGCTTTACAGATGGCATTACTGTTTACCCAGAGACACTGTGCAACATTTTTAGCTACTGCAGCAACATATGGAACAAAGAGCAAAATGGATCACTGCCTGATCAACTGCAAGCTCTTGCCAGTGACATGTTAGCTGGATAATATGCAATCAACCATTTATTAGCCTCTAGGAGCTTTTATAAGCATCTGTATGCTTTACATAAAAATATAAAAGCATCCTAGCAACCCCAGAGGGAATCCTATCCACACTACCCACAATGAACAGGAAATCTCCATACCACACATCAAACCTCATAACCATATACAATCACCAACACTGTGAACTAACATCTAATGGGATTATCATCAGCCAAGAAGGATCCTTAGATAAACCTAAAATAGAAAATACAAACACCAAAACAACAAATAATCCCATTAAAACATAGGCAGAGGACCTGAACATTTTTCCAAAGAAGACATAGAGATAACCAACAGGCACATGAAAAGATGCACCACATCGCTAATCAAGAGGAAAACGCTAATCAAAACCACAACGAGGTTATCACCTCACACCAGTAAGAATGGCCACTATCTAAAAGAGAAGAAATAACAAATGTTAGCAAGGATGTGAAGAAATGGGAATCCTCCTATACTGTTGATGGGAATGTAAACTGGTGCAGCCACTGTGGAAAGCAGTATGGAGGTTCCTCAAAAAAACTAAAAATAGAAATACCATGTGACCCAGCAATTCCACTTCTGAGAATTTACCCAAAGAAAACAAAATCACTAGTTCAAAAAGACATACGCACACCTATGTTCACTGCAGCAGTACTTACAGAGCCAAGATATGGAAGCAACCTAAGTGCCCCTCAATACGGGACCAGATGAAGAAGATGCGGTCCCTGTACACAATGGAATACTAGCCATAACAAAAGGAAATCCTACCTATCATGACGACATGGAAGGACCTAGAAGCTATCACCCTAAGCAAAATAAGTCAGACAGAGAAAGACAAATACCATACGACTTCACTTATATATAGAATCTAAAAACACAAAACAAACAAAAAAATAAATAGACTGACATAAATACTGACATAAATGCTGACAATAAACTGGTGGTTACCATAGGGAAGGGGGTTGGATGAAATAGGTGAAGGGGATAAAGAAATACAAACTTCAAATTATAAAATGAATTAGTCACAGGATTAGAAGTATATCATAGAGAATATAACAAATAATACTATATTATCTTGGAATAGTAACAGGGGTTAAGTATACCTACTGTGGCAAACATTTAGTAATGTATATAGTTATCAAATCACTATGTTGTACAACTGAAACCAATATAATACGGTATATCAACTATATTCCAATAAGTAAATAAAATACAAAATACACTGATCAATGGAGAAGACTGTTTTATCCTGAATTATCGAAATCACCCGAACACCACTGAAGAGCACACACAAACCTATCCTCACTTCCAGAGTAATCCTGAGGAGCAATGCAGAGATGTACCCACTCTTGCTGCAATGTCTTTCTGCCTTCACAGTTGGCAAGAAATTGGCCAGAATCCATCCTTACCACTGAGCAGCAGAATTGAGAAAGCAGGGCCAGAGCCCTGAGGTGATGTCAGTCAAGGAACTAGGGAGCTTGCAAGAACCTTAACAAATGACGGATGAATAGAGCAAACAGCTGCTTGAGCAGCACATCACTAAAGCCCACGAGTGCTCGCTGACCAGCTGCCGAAGGGCACAGGCAGCCCTGCAGTAGGATGGACCCACCAAAAAGCCCATGAGCATCCGAAAGCACTGCGGTATTTCCAAAGCTGCGGAACATGGGACCCCAGTGAAATTCAAGACAATGTAAGTGGTCTAAGCCATGGGTTCAGGTGATACAAAAGAAAGTACTAAATAAATAACATTGGCTCACAGATAAGAGTCAATTCCCTTTTCAATCTAGATGGTAAAAAGAAGAAAGTCTCAGTTTGGTGCTGGAAAGTGTTTAACATGAATCTCACAGTTGCAAATCTTGAAACAGTAAGAGAACAGACCCCAGGCTCAGACAGCCAGGCAACAGCATCTCAGCTAGACTCTAATAACATTTGCTTTCACTGTGATTATCTTCAGTTACCTTCTAGTTATGACAAGTGACATATTTCTGGCAATAATACAAAGATTACTTTTCAAATAAATTTCAATAAAAATCCCATCTCAATTTAATAAAAAATATTAAGTACATGATGGCACAGCTGGTACATGGACAGGGCAAAAATAGTGAAGGTGACATCAAAATGACTAGAATTGGGAGGCAGAGAAGAATGAGTTGAAAGAAGTGAGAGATACAAGCAACATCCCAGTTCTTATTACTAATGAGTCCCCAGGCCTCACTTTCTTTATCTACAAAATGAGAAATAATCTAAGGTTAGATTTTCCAAATTTTAATCACCTGCTTGCCACCAACACAATTTTTGTCACATCCACATATTACCTGTGCTATTATGAGTTTAATCCTCTTTGAGTAATTTTTCAATTGAAATATACTTTATGTGAATAGGACACCCTACCATTATTAAAAATGAAAACCCAGTATTTCTAAATACACAATAAAAAACATATCATTATTAATTTCTGTTTAGTTGTACATGTACCACCTAAAGGTAATTGACATACATCAGTGAGGCACTTTTTGGGCAAAAATTACAGAAGGCAGAGCTGCCCATTCAGCTTGCTGGGGAGAACATTTGAGGCAGCTGGGTGGCAGGTATGCCCAGATATTGATCCTTTCAACCCTCAGAGTGGCAGCACAGGGCCTGGGATTGCTGGAGCCCCATGTTGGTCGCTTTGGGCCACAGGCAGTCTTGTCTATCTACTGCAATAGGCCATATGTATGTGTACCTGTGTGTACGTGGGCACCACGACAGGAAAACGGTAGGTAGGTGGCACTGGTCTAAGGCACTTTGACTCTGAGGTTTTATGATACAGATATTTTCTTTCTCTACTTTTCTTTTCAATTTCTCAGCACCAAGCCCAAAGACCCAAAAAGGGAGAGAGAAGAATGTGATTTTAGAAATTTAGAAATTATTCCACCTTCCAATATCTAAAGGGGACACCATCACTCAAGAATTAGTATCTTAAAATGATTGATTTTATATTGACAGCAGGAAAAGAGCTCTATCCCAAGTAATCTTACTGGTAATGGTCTTTTTAAAGATTTTTATTTGAAAAATAAACATTTTCTCTACCATACATATTCACATAGATCTAGCCTTACTCACCAACCATGTTCATTCTTACGTTTGGATAATATTTGTTCCTTATTCACAGAAACATTACAGGAAACACCTAGAAAGAAGTAACAATAATTTATTAGTATGGTTTGTTATAATACACATGCAGACATTTAGAAAACTTCTAATTCAACTTTTATTTTAGAACTCAGAGGGCCCAAAGTCACACATACAGAGTGGTTCAAAACTGAATGTTCAGGGGTCTTCTGGAAAAAGAGGGCAGAATAAGAGTAATTTCCTTCTCTTCTCTGAAAACAAAATGAGTACAATTAGAGGGGAAATTCTATCAATAGGAAAACTTGGAGTAATTAGAACCTCCAATCACAGACTACCAAGAAACCTGTCAGGTTCCGTAAATTTGGGATTAAAACCAAGCGACATGCTAAAAGCCAACGCATCTGTCTCCAGATCTCAAATGCAGAGCTCTCAGGAGCCCAGCCAGAAATCTTTTATTTAGATCATGGCTTGGAGAGGGTAACAGCTGGACCCCAGAAGCAGCAGGAAGTGTTCCAGGAGGATCCAGGTCCAGAGCTCACTGCAGGAGGGGATGAGGGTGGAGGGAGATGGAGGATGACATCAGACCTAAAGTGGCCAAAAGAGACGCGACTTCACCTCCTTCCACAGTCCACCTTCACTCGGTAAATCCCACCTCCAACTACCAGTTGCTCAAATCAGGAACTGGGGTGTCATCCTTGATTCTTTGTCTCCTCATGCTGCTCCCCCATATCCACTTCACTGGCAAGTCCTGTCAATTCTACCTCACAAGTCTCACTCCAGTCCCCAAAACACCACCACCTCCTCTTGCCTGGACTACTGCACTAGCTCCCGACTGGCCTGTGCTTCCAGGCTTATTCTTCCCTTCGGTGCTTTTTCCAAAGAAAAATCTGGGTCATATCCCACCTCTGCTTAAACACCTCACTCACTAGAATAGATTCTGATTCCATAGAACAGCCTACAAGGCCCACAATTTTCTGGCCCCTTCCTTCCTCCCTTTTATTAATCCTCTTCTTTATTCTACTCTTCAGCCACACTATCCTCAAAGCCCTTGCACTAGCTGCTCCCTGTGCCTGGAAAAAGCAAAGAGCACAACCCCAGACCCGCAATACAGCCAAGCTACTTCCCATGTATAGACACCACAGGAAGACATTTTCCAACACTCAAACTTACTGTTTTCTTGAGGATGGAAGAGTCCACTGATTACAATTAATCAGATAAGCAACTCAAAAGTGAGAAAGCTATTTAAAAACTTTTGTTATAGTAATGGTCAAGGAGTTGAGAAGTGAGTTCATATAAACATTACATTAAGGCTCAATGAGAGGAGTAGCGAGATAGGATTAAAGATGTTGGCATGAGAGATGAGACAGAGACCTCCTCCTAAAACCATATATAATATGAAAATATAATACAACTAATCCTGAAAGAGCAACAGGAAAGAAGGCTGCACCAGACTGCATAAACCTAGAGGAAAGAACAGACCTCACAGAACAGGGTAACATACCAAAGCCGTGACTTGGCGGGACCCAAGCCTTCCCCCCACCCCAGCTCACAGGCGGAAGAGAAACAGAGCGGGGAGGGAGTGGAAGCCTGGGACTGCTGAACACCTAGCCCTGGAGATTTTCTCTGGGAGCACAAACCTACATTGCATGGTGCTCTGATGATTAGTGGGGTTGGAAAGCTAAGACAGGCAGAATACCTGGAGAGACTAAGATTCCAGCTGCTTGTGAAAAACAAGAATTCATATCTGGCTGATCTGGAGACTTCCTAAAAGTGAGAGGGCTGCTAAAGGGCAAGGATTGCACAGAGCTTACAGCTCAGGAGAAAGGACAGGTAGACAAAATTGTCCAGGTGCACTCTGCCCAGTAGGTTGGCGACTTTCACGATCTTCAGGCACTCCATCCCTCTGGCTGGCTACGCAGCTCCAAGAACCCCCACCATGATACGCAGCCTGCTGAGCCTTCTTCCCGGCCAGCCCGCACCTGGCTTGCAAACCAGCCAACCCTGCCCTGGCATCAGGCCAGCCAGAGGGGAGCACCCACTTACAGCAGCTACAAACACAAAGCACAGAGGCTTACACCTGTGTGCTCAGCCCACTGGTTCTGGCGGTGGAGACAGGCATAGGAGCTGGGAAGCAGGAAATAGCTCTTTCCTCCCCCCAGGCACCAGCACCACTCCCGTGCAATCCCCGACGTCGCTCCAGAGGCCGAGCAGCTCCAGAGAGTAGAGCTTCTGGGCACTAGAGGGCACACATACAAATAAGAGACATCAAAGGAACCTGGTACAAAGTAATATCTCAACACCAGAAAAAGAATTGAGTGAGACTGAGGTAATAAATATTCCTGAAAGAGATTTCAAAATAAAAATCATAAACCTGCTCCTGGGGTACAGAAAAATATTCAAGAACTTGGGAATGAATTTAGGACGGAGATCCAATTGTTGAGGAACACAAATAGAGGGTATTAAAAGCAGATTAGATACAGTGAAGACGATAAAGGAAATAGAAATCAGAGAAGAATACAAAGAAGCAGAAGCACAGAGAGAAAAAAGAATCTCTAGGAATGAAAGAATACTGAGAGAACTGTTTGACGAATCCAAATGAGACAGTATTTGTATTATAGGGGTACCAGAAGAAGAAGAGAGAGAAAAAGGGATAGAAAGTGTCTTTGAAGAGGTAATTTCTGAAAACTTCCCCAATCTAGGGAAGAAGATAGTCTCTCAGGCCATGGAGGTGCACAGATTTCCCAACACAAGGCATCCAAGGAGGACAACACCAACACATACAGTAATTAAAATGGCAAAGATCAAGGATAAGGACAAACTATTAAAAGCAGCCAGGGAGAGAAATAAGATAACGTACAAAGGAAAACCCATCAGGCTATCAGCAGACTTCTCAGCAGAAAACTTACAGGCCAGAAGGGAGTGGCATGATATATTTAATGCCATGAAGCAGAAGGGCCTCGAATGAAGAATACTCTATCCAGCAAGATTATCATTTAAATTTGAAGGAGGGATTAAATTTCCAGATAAGCAAAAGCTGAGAGAATTTACCTCCCACAAACCATTTCTACAGTGTATTTTGGAGAGACCGCTATAGATGGAAGTGCTCCTAAGGTTAAATAGCTGTCACCAGAGGTAATAAAAAGGGATAGACAAAGAGTACAGAATATGATACCTAATATATAAAGAATGGAGGAGAAAGGAGGCAAAAAAAAATAAAAGGAATCTTTATATTATGTTTGTAATAGCATACTAAGTGAGTTAAATTACACTCTTAGATAGTAAGGAACTTACCCTTGAACCTTTGGTAACCACAGATCTAAAGCCTGCAATAGCAATAAATACATACCTATCAATAATTACCCTAAATGTAAATGGTCTGAATGCACCAATCAAAAGACATAGAGTCACTGAATGGATAAGAAAACAAGACCAATCTATATTCTGCCTACAAGAGACTCACTTCAAACCCAAAGACATACACAGACTAAAAATGAACAGATGGAAAAAGATATTTCATGCAACTGATAGGGAGAAAGAAGCAGGAGTTGCAGTACTGGTATCAGACAAAATAGACTTCAATACAAAGAAAGTCACAGGAGACAAAGAAGAACGTTACATAATGATAAAGGGGTCAATCCAACAAGAAGATATAACAACTATAAATATCTATGCACCCAACACAGGAACACCTACATATGTGAAACAAATACTAAGATAATTAAAAGGGATAACAGAATTCAATGCATTCATTCTAGGAGACTTTAACATTCTACTCACACCAAAGGACAGATCAACCAGACAGAAAGTAGGTAAGGAGACAGAGGCATTAAACCACACAATTGATGGACCTAACAGACATCTACAGAACTCTCAACCCAAAAGCAGCAGGATACACATTCTTCTCAAGTGCACATGGGACATTTTCAAGAATAGATCATATACTAGGCCACAAAAGGAGCCTCAGTAAATTCAAAAAGATTGAAATTGTACCAACCACCTTCTCAGACCACAAAGGTATGAAACTAGAAATAAATTACACACACACACAAAAAAAGCCCACAAACACATGGAGGCTTAACAACATGCTCCTAAATAACCAATGGCTCAATGACCAAACAAAAACAGAGTTCAAGCAATATATGAAGACAAATGACAACAATAATTTAACACTGCAAAATCTGTGGGACGCAGTTAAGGCCATGCTAAGAGGGAAGTATATTGCAATACAGGCCTACCTCAGGAAAGAAAAACAATACCATATGAACAGTCTAAACTCACAATTAATGAAACTAGAAAAAGAAGAACAAATGAGGCCCAAAGCCAGTAGAAGGAGGGACATAATAAAGACTAGAGCAGAAATAAATAAAATTGAGAAGAATAAAACGATAGAAAGAATCAATGAAAGCAGGAGCTGGTTCTTCGAGAAAATAAACAAAATAGATAAACCCCTAGCCAGACTTATCAAGAAAAAAAGAGTCTACACACATAAACAGAATCAGAAATGAGAAAGGAAAAATTACTATGGACACCACAGAAATACAAAGAATTATTAGAGAATACTATGAAAAATTATATGCTAACAAACTGCATAACCCAGAAGAAATGGACAACTTTCTAGAAAAATACAACCTTCTAAGGCTGACCCAGAAAGAAACAGAAAATCTGAACAGACCAATTACTAGCAACCACATTGAATTGGTAATCAAAAAACTACCTAAGATCAAAGTCCCCATACAAGATGGCTTCACCGCTGAATTTTATCAAACATTTAGTGAAAACCTAATACCCATTCTCTTTAAAGTTTTCCAAAAAGTAAAAGAGGAGGGAATACTTTCAAACTCATTCTATGAGGCCAGCATCACCCTAATATCAAAATCAGACAAAGACACCACAAAAAAAGAAAATTAGACCAATATACCTGATGAATACAGATGCAAAAATACTCAACAAATTATTAGCAAACCGAATTCAAAAATACATTAAAAAGATCCTCCATCATGATCAAGTAGGATGTATTCCAGGGATGCAAGGATGGTACAATATTAAAAAATCCATCAGCATCATCCACCACATAAACAAACAGAAGGACAAAAACCACATGATCATCTCCATAGAGCTGAAAAAGCATTTGACAAAATTCAACATCCATTCATGATAAAAACTCTCAACAAAATGGGTACAGAGGGCAAGTACCTCAACATAATAAAGGCCATATATGACAAACTCACAGCCAATCATACTTAACAGTGAGAAGCTGAAAGCTTTTTCCTTTAAGATCGGGAATGACACAAGGATGCCCACTCTCCCCACTTTTGTTCAATATAGTTTTGGAGGTCCTCACCATAGCCATCGGACAACACAAAGAAATAAAAGGTATCCAGATTGGTAAAGAAGTTAAACTGTCACTGTTTGCAGATGACATGATACTGTACATAAAAAACCCTAAAGAATCCACTCCAAAACTACTAGATCTAATATCGGAATTCAGCAAAGTTGCAGGATACAAAATTAATACACAGAAATCTGTTGCATTCCTATACACTAACAATGAACTAGCAGAAAAGAGAAATGAGGAAAACAATTCCATTCACAATTGCATCAAAAAGAATAAAATATCTAGGAATAAACCTAACCACGGAAGTGAAAGACCTATACTCTGAAAACTACAAGACACTCTTAAGAGAAATTAAAGAGAACACTAACAAACAGAAATTCATCCCATGCTCTTGGGTAGGAAGAATTAATATTGTCAAAATGGCCATCTTGCCTAAAGCAATCTACAGATTCAATGCAATCCCTATCAAAATACCAATGGCATTCGTCAACAAACTAGAGAAAATAGTTCTAAAATTCATATGGAAACACAAAAAACCCCAAATAACCAAAGCAATCCTTAGAAGGAAGAATAAAGCTGGGGGGATTACTCTCCCCAACTTCAAGGTCTACTAAAAGTCACAGTAATCAGAACAATTTGGTACTGGCACAAGAACAGAACCATAGACCAATGGAGCAGACTAGAGAGCCCACATATAAACCCAAGCATATGTGGTCAATTAATATACAATAAAGGAGCCATGGACATACAATGGGGAAATGAAAGCCTCTTCAACAACTGGTGTTGGCAAAACTGGACAGCTACATGCAAGAGAATGATACTGGATTATTGTCTATCCACCTCCACAAAAGTAAACTCAAAATGGATCAAAGACCTGAATGTAAGTCATGAAACCATAAAACTCTTAGAAAACAACCAAGCAAAATCTCCTGAATATAAACATGAGCAACTCTGAATGCATCTCCTAGAGCAAGGGAAACAAAAACAAAAATGAACACATGGGACTACATCAAACTAAAAAGCTTCTGTACTGCAAAGGATACCATCAACAGAACGAAAAGGCATCCTACAGTATGGGAGAATATATTTGTAAATGACGTATCTGACAAGGGGTTAACATCCAAAATATATAAAGAACTCACACACCTCAACACCCAAAAAGCAAATAACCTGATTAAAAAACGGGCAGAGGATACGAATAGACAATTCTCCAAAGAAATTTAGATGGCCAACAGACACATGAAAAGATGCTCCGCATCACTAATTATCAGGGAAATGCAAATAAAAACCACAATGAGATATCACCTCACATCAGTTAGGATAGCCAGTATCAAAAAGACTAAGAACAGCAAATGCTGGCAAGGATGTGGAGAAAGGGGAACCCTCCTGCACTGCTGGTGGGAATGTAAGCTAGTTCAACCATTGTGGAAAGCAATATGGAGGTTCCTCAAAAAACTAAAAACTGAAATACCATTTGATCCGGGAATTCCATTTCTAGGAATTTACCCAAAGAATATAATTCTCAGATTCAAAAAGACATATGCACCCCTATGTTTACTGCAGCACTATTTACAATAGCCAAGATATGGAAGCAACCGAAGTGTCCATCAGTAGATGAATGGATAAAGAAGATGTGGTACATATACACAATGCAATACAATTCAGCCATACGAAAGAAACAAATCCTACCATTTGCAACAACATGGATGGAGCTGGAGGATGTTATGCTCAGTGAAATAAACCAGGCAGAGAAAGACAAGTACCAAATGATTTCCCTCATTTGTGGAGTATAACAAGGAAGCAAAACTGAAGGAATAAAACAGCAACAGACTCACAGACTCTAAGAAGGGACTAAGGGTTGCCAAGGGGGAGGTCGGGGAAGGGCAGGTGGGGAGGGAGGGAAAGGGGATTGAGGGGTATTATGATTGGCACACATGGTGTGGGGGGGATAATGGGGAAGACAGTGTAGCACAGTGAAGGCAAATAGTGACTCTGTGGCATCTTACTATACTGCTGGCAGTGACTGCAGTGGGGTATGGGGGGACATGATAACATGGGTGAATGTAGTAACCACATTATTTTTTCATGTGAAACCTTCATAAGAGTGTATATCAATAATACCTTAATAAAAAAGAAAAAAAGAAAAAAAATTAAAAAGACAAAAAAAAGGCTCAGTGACCGTGCTATGGCAACAGAATGTAAATGTTATAAACCTTGACAAAGTACAAATAATTAAACTAACTCAAATTCGGTCAGGAGAGAGTGGAAGTTAATCAAAAAGTTTGTTCCTTTATCTTTCAGGAGGTGGGGTGGGGGAGATGGTAAATTGAATTAAAAACTGGTATAGAAAAACTAACCAACAGAAGTGTTTTTACATACAAAACAAAGAAAAGAGCTTGTGGCAAAAGATAGACAAGATGCTGTAAAAACAAAAAGCACAAGATTTAACATCAAACATTATTTCTTAAAAAACTGTAAACAAGGGAAACTCACCTATTTAAAAAAAAAAGCTTCTCCTACTGTATCAAAAATCTCAACCAAAATACATGCTGTTGTAATTGTGGCAACACTGAAAACAGCCTAGACCTCTTTCAATAGGGACTGGGGGAATTAACAGCATCTCCAAGACAGAAATTGCTCTAGAGGCATTTGCTACACATTCTGAGCACATGATGCATATGAACTCACTTAATCCTTCTAACTACCTATGTAAGTATCTTTCCCATTTTACGGAGAAGGAAACTAAGTCACACAGAAACTACAAAGCTCGCCCAAGGATACACAGCTATTAAGTGGCAGGCCAAGATTCAAACACAAGCAGTCCAGGGCTTCCACCATGAGGCTATACTGCCTCTCAGCAAGGGTACACCAAGCAGCTGCTAAAAATGTAAAGTATATCTATACAATAATTGGGAAAAATATTCAGAATATGTATGTGGAATAAAAAAGGATGCTTAACAGTATAAATAATATAATCTCAAGTATCTTTTAAAAGTTTACATGTTTAAATGTGCTCATATGTACATGGGGCATATCTGGAAGTGTAACTGAGAATAAAGCATTTAATTCTGCGGCTATGACAGTGTCAGGCACAGGTGGATAAATTCTTTTTACTTTTACACCCTTCTGCACTGTTTGACTTCAAAAGGTGAAAAGTGTTAATCCCAATGAATTACAATGGGAAGTATATGTTCTTAGACTTCTGTTTAAAAAGTGAAAGAGACTCAGCTAATAAACTAATGTATTTTTGGGAAAACAGCAGGTCCCAAAAGTTCCAAGTAACTAGTGGACACTGGTGTCCTCCTTTCTTCCCAATATTATGTCCCAAGAAGGAAAACATTCCACATATATCAATAAATCTGTGAATTTCTGCCATCGAAATATTTACATTATTCAGAGCATAAACTTCATCTTGAAAACCTCAACTCCAAAAATGAATAGCTATTTTTACACCACTTCAGAAAAAAATACATGTGGACCACTCCCCTTAATAAATACTATGAATGCAACGATAAGATGAACAGTGGAGAAACATACAGGTTACTGGTAGAGGCATGATTAAAAGCTAGAACTCCGGCCTTTTCTTGGCAATTTTGATGGGGTTACTGGTACTTCTACTGCAGGTTTCCTTCCTTTTTAATTTATTGGACAGCATCGTATTCTGCCAGCTGTGGTTGAAACACTTCAGACTGCTAAGGCAGCCGCTGATACAATACAAGCTTGGAGGAATCAATCCGGACATCCCCCTGCAGAAAGCAAGTAGCTGAAAACCTTAATTTTCTAAATAAACCATTAACAATGTTATTTACCAATTAACAGCCCGCTAACTTCTGTGGGAAGTAATAGAGGGGCTACACCCTAAATGCTTACAAATGTAGTCGGTCATTTTTTACTGAGTAGTGCTCACAACGACGCTGATTCAACTGCTGAAGTCGGGAACTCCAGAAAAGGACCCGTCACTCATGAGCCCAAGATACAGTGGTGGCCCTACTCCCCTTTTCCCGAGACAGCTCAGCCGCTCGGATTTTTCTGCTTTTAAAGACCCTAGGCAGCCCCCAAGCATCCCGTCCCCCATCAGCCCGCGGGCCGCCCAGGTGTGTCACACCAGGGGAGAAGGCGTTCCAAACCCCCAAGCCCCGCAACTGACAGCGCAGCAAGATGCAGTTGGTGTCCTCCTGGCTCGTCACCCAGCTCAGTGAGTCGCCCAGGGGCCGCCGGCAGCCGGAGCACAGAAACACCAGCGGCCTGTCCTCCTCAGCCGGCTCAGCAGCCTCCTCGCGCCGCATCTTTTCCAGGCAGGCCACCGACCCGTCCCCGCCCACGGAGCTCCACGTGCTCGCCCACTTCTGCAGTAGCTGGTGGCGGCTCGAGCCTTCCGAGAGCCGCTTGCCCAACAGCGAGGAGTCGCTCCGCTTGCCCTTGTCGCCACACGCACAGATAGTAGAGGAACAGCGTTGGCCGCAATCTGAAAACCGCGCACCCGCCATTGCTTACAAATGACTCGGTCCGCTAAGCGCCACGGGAAAAACGTCCTTGCGCCTGCGCAAAGCGGAGCCGAGGTCGGGGGAGGGGAGCGGAGCCGAGGCTTGAGGGAACTGGGAAGGCGGGCAACCGGCTAGCGCGCATGCGCTCCAGGTCAGCTGAGCCGTACCGTGTGGTCACTGCGCCAACGTGGTATTTTTCACTCTTTGGAAATTGAAGCAGCAGGAGGTCCGACAGTCAGTGTTGCCAGCTCCGCTTCTGATCACCACCGCTGTCAGTTGCCCAACTGCCTCAAGTTGGAGTGTGTGATACGAAGTCCAATCGCACGCCCAGGGGATCTGAGGAGAAAGCGCTCGCCAAGACAGAAGGAACGACCCAGAGAGGTCAGTTAAGACCTGACGGTTTATTGGGACTGACTGACTCCGGGAGGGCCGGCTGGCGGAGGTTGCACACCGCTATCGAGGGCAAGGAAGGAAATGATTATATGGAGTGAGGGGACAGACACTAGGTGTGCGCCAGGGGTGAGGAGACAAAGACTGGCTATGTTAGGAGGGATCATCCTCCTGCCACCAGCGCCCCAAGGAACAAAACCTTGCTCAGAGCTGCCTGCCTCCCAGTGTTTCAATAGAAACGGTGGGAGTGGATTGGGACAGCCGCGGACCATTCACATACCCTGTTCCAACCGTACCACCCAAAGGAAGAGGCCATGTGGACACATGGTTATTCTGGGGCAAAGAATTAGAAGCAGGCAGTGTTAGTCCCCAAATGGAGAACACAGGGGTTGTTGGGGAGCCATCTCATCACGCATTCGTTTTGCTGGAATGAGACCCTAGAAAGGGCTCCAGATCACTCAGGCTAGCTCTGCAAGTTAAAACCTGGAGAAGCGGTGTGGCCAGCTTCAGTGTGCTGAAAGCGTGGCAGAGAGCCGGGAGCAGAGGGCAGAGCCTGGGGCAGAGAGCGAGGGAGAGCCAGGAGCGGAGGTGAGGGCTACAAGGTGGTGGAGAAGCCCGGAGGCAGAGAGGCCTGGAGGCAGAGACCACCTTGCCGCAGGCAGACTTGCCCTGAGGAGGAGAGGGGATTCTAGCTCTTCACCTGCCACCACTAGTATAAAACTGGGTATAAACCCCTTTACCCCATGAACATCCTGTTGTCATTTTTGGGTCTCATTGAATCCGTAGTGAACTTGCCCAAAGCTGAAACCCTTAGGCAAAAAGTTTGGGATCGGGGCAGCCATTTTCCCCTTGCACAGAGTGAGCACCCTCCCGGGTGGTAAGGACAAACTTCCTCAGCTGCCCCAGAAAGCCAGCCTCTGCCTTTAAAGGACCACAAATCTGGGTGGAGAGGCTGCTGGGGAACAGAGCAGCGGCATCCGGGACAACCTGGCAGCACAGCTAGGGAGAAAGGTAGCCCCGGGTCCTGGGTCAGCTCACAGGACTCTTTGGGTACCAGAAGTAACATTGGTGCCCACTTTGCTTGATCGGACACACTATTTACATAAATTTTACTTCCAATTTAGTGCCTTTGGTCACTAACAAAAAGCAAAAGCTTTGGAGTCAGAAGTTTGGAGTTGACCTACCCCTCCATGAAGTAGTAACCGTGTAGGAAACTATGGAAAGACTGTTTGCCTTTGCATTCCTGGGCAGCCGTTCTCACCTTCCCTCTTGGTTATACAACTAGAGTTTTGGATAAGGTTGAGTCCGACTGCGATGGCCTCCACTACCATCATCGCCAATTCTAGGAATGGGTCCCTAGAGGTGGACTCATCAGGAGAGCTCACCTCTTCTCCATGGTCCTTGGTGCAGGGATGGCTCCTTCCCCAGCCTGGAGCCACTCAGCAAGCACTGCTCCGCCGACGATAGGGATTGGCTCATACAGCAACTTGACCTATGTGGCCAGGTTGTGCCCAGGCGTGTAAGTTTCAAGACTCTTGCTCAGCACTTGAGAGAAGGGATGACCGCTTTATCCCCTGCATGTGTCACAGGCAGCATACACTGGAGCTGCTTCAGGTGGCCACCTGGAAATCAAGGAAACAGGCAGGACTGAGAGAATCCCAGAGGTGGGAGCACCCAGCCTCTGAACCCTTTCAGTTGTGTGAGCCAGCAAGGCCTCTTTATTGTGGAGGCCAGTTTGAACAGGCTTGTTTTTACTAGCAATTAGAAACATAGGGAACGAGAGGGTATTACGCTCAGTGAAATAAGCCAGGCAGAGAAAGACAAGTACCAGATGATTTCACTCATCTGTGGAGCATAAGAACAAAGCAAAAACTGAAGGAACAAAACAGCAGCAGACTCGCAGAACCCAAGAATGGACTAACATTTACCAAAGGGAAAGGGACTGGGGACGATGGGTGGGAAGGGAGGGATAAGGGGGAAAAAGGGTATTATGATTAACACACATAATGTAGTGGTTGCGGCATGGGGAAGGCAGTATAGCACAGAGAAGACAGGTAGTGATTCTACAGCGTCTTAACTAGGCTGATGGGCAGTGACTGTAATGGGGTATGTGGTGGGGACTTGATAATGGGGGGAATCCAGTAACCACAATGTTTCTCATGTAAGTGTATATTAATGATACCAAAAAAAAACTTAGGGAATGGTGTGTTTACAGTGCATTCAATCTGAGATTTTGACTGAGACGCCAAGATGTGGAGAAAAGGCCACACCCAAATGTGTGTGAGACTGACCGCCTCACTGCTATTGGAGAACTGACTCCCTCCTGCCACATTTTGGGAATACTAAACACAGGAGAAAATGATGACCTAGATGACTTCATAAGAAGGGTTTCTGTGGCAACAGGCTGGGTTGTGGGGTCCACTTCTCCCCAGTAGAGGAACTTTGAAAATGTATCTTGAACATATCATTTCTTATACAAAAATGTGCTGCAATGAGAAATGTGAGATGTGAGGTCACAGTAAAAGTAACGCAAATATTTAATATATGAAAAGATTCTCTACCACTAAAGTGTACCATTAAGCTACACTAAAAACCAGTACAGCTGTCAGTTTGATAAAATCCAGAAGCTTGACAACATAATCTGTTGTCCACAATATTGTCCAAGAAAACCAGTTGCTTCATATATTGCTGATAGGAATACAAGATATTATAACTTCCAAGGAAGGGAACTTGGCTATATCTAACACACTTACAAATGTATTTGTGCTTTGACACAGAAATCTCACTTTCAGGAATCAATTCTAAAAATGCAGTGGCAAAACATGATAAAAACATGTACACAAGGCACTGCAGTACTATTTGCAATAGCAGAGACTGAAAGCGACCCAAACACCCACCAGCCGGAACAGGGTGAGGAAGCTGTAATAGAGCCATGCGATGGCAGAGTCATGCATCTGTAAAACAAAAACAAAAACAAACACATAGTTATATCATTATATGCCATGGAGAGGCTTCCAGAATGAATAATGAAAAAAGCAAGGTTTAAAAAAATATAGTTCCCATTGAACATCTAAAAGGGGAGAAAGGAAAGGTTAAATATACATTCATATTTACTTATATTTTTAAAAAATTGAAGGAAAAGGCAAAAAATTTGTAAAGAAGCACTCACTTGGGTGAAGGTAACAAGAAGAGACAAGAACAATAGAAGCTGGTTCTACAAATATACCTTATTTTGTGTATTCAACTTTGGAATCACAAAAATACTTTAATTATAAAATAACATTTTTCAACACTCTAAACATTGAAATATTTAACGTATTAAGTGGGTGACATAACTTCATGGAGAAGAAGTATTCCAAGTGACTTTAAAATATGAATTCGATTATATATATCTTGTAGTTAGTACTCTAAGGAGAAAACAGAAAAACTTCCCTCAAATAAAATATCTTACATTGTTTTTAGTAATCATGTGTTCTTTTTGCTGACACTGATAATGTTATTCTGAGACTGTGTATATTTTATATTTAGTAATTATGTTAGTATTTTGGGGAATAGGATTTTAAGTTTTGGAGAAAAGAGATACACCTAGAATAATGTTAAATAAAACTGCATGGTTGTGGTTTTGGATTGGAAGTATCAGTATGAACCCAGGATGCTTTTTATTTAAAAATAAATATTTTCTAGCTCTCTACATTGAATAGGACTGAACATTGTAACAGACTCAGGACCAGTAATCACCTTTAGCACCCAGATTATAGTAACTAAACACGATTTCCTACTAAAAGAAACCAGGAGTCGTTGGGAAATTGTGGAATCCAAGGTCTGGGGTAAGAAATGGACAAAATAAGCCTGAAACATCTTGTAATTCTAGAAAGCAAGGAAGGTATAACACCAAAACAAAGGCAACTACTACTATAACCAGCATGAAGAGGCTCTCCCTGTCCACATATGAGTTAATTTGTGCATCATCAGAGATCATAGCTGGAATGGAATGGAACACACAAAATAGGATTACTTCCAGAAGTTCATGATGATTTCTAAAAAAACAAAGCTCTCACAGTTCACTGTTGGGTGGTACTGGAAAACCCAATCATTATTTTGAAAACTAACAAAGAAAGAAAGGAAAAGAAACAAACAAGTAGATCAAACATTTTTCGCACCTTGCTATTGTTACCGGCTAAGATGCGGCACTTCCCAGGGTTGTGTCTTGGAGGCCACGTAGAATGAAGCCAGCAGACAAGAGCACAGAGCAACCAGCAAAGCTAATGAGGAACAAGAAGAGAATAACTCCTGCTGGCCAGGAGGGGCTCCAAGAGAGGATGCTGCCAGGCCTGCAGTGTGTAGGGTTTATAGAGCTTCTTCAAAGGAGGAAGTCCATGCCCCGTGCACCTAATAGACAACTGAACTGACGACATCACAACTCATCCTGACTGACCGAAGTACAGTGCTCCATTTGTATGGGGCGACTCATTCCTGGTGGGCTGAAAGTACCGTGCTCCGTTTCCATAGTGAGTAATCGATCAGCGCTGAGGTTTAGCTGCCTAAGCGGACTCTCAAATGGCCGAGAGGGTTGGAGATTTTTGGAGGAAGAAGCCGCCACGGCTGGCTGGGAGTCGCTGCCAGCGCCGAGATGGGGATCGGAAGACCTTCCCATCTTCCAGGCCTGGTTTTCCAGGAGGTGGTGTCTTGTTTACTGAGAAGCCCTGGTCGTAGTTGCCTCTGGTTATGTCTTACCAGGGCCGTGAGTTCTACCTGCCTGCGTCCCAGTAACTCCTGCATCATATACCTCAGGTAACCGAGCAGTTTATGGAGAAAGACCTTCCTTCCTCCCTCCCTCCCTTCCTTCCTTCCTTCCTTCCTTCCCTCCCTCCCCCCCCCCTCCCTCCCTCCCTTCCTTCCTCCCTTCCTCCCTTCCTTCCTTCCTCCCTTCCTTCCTTCCTTCCTTCCTTCCTTTTCTCAAGGGTGTGTGATGTGTGTTTAGAAGGATGAAATTAATAGATGAGGAAGGAATATGGAGACCAGGATCACCATTTTCACAGGCTTAATGCATCAGAGGATCTCAGCAGTGATCGTCACTGTCTGGTAATATCACACAAAAAAGACACCAAACATTATGTGTCCTTGAGGGGAGGACACCCCCCCCCCCCGTGTATGAGGTATTCTTTTCCCCCAAAAACTGAACCAAGTCTACACTAATCTCTAGGTGTAACTTCACTTCCCAGGGAATACAGGGAATGGGGAACATGAGTAACAGTGCCATGGGATCAGTGGGCAAACCCTTCACGGGGGAATAACCTGTTTCCAAAAAAAGAGAGAGAGAGAGAGTAGGAGGGAGAGAAAACTTATTAATTTAACAAGGTTTCAGAGTCACATCAACCAGTTACAACACGTGTACCTTGTTTTCTCCTGATTAGGGCAAATTAATAATAAAAACAATTATGATAGAAACTGGGAAAATGTGAACATTGACTAGATATTTTATGCAATCAAATAATTATTAATTTTTAGGTGGGATAATTTTACTGTTGCTTAATTTTTTAAAAATCTCCCTTCACAGATACATATCACAATACTTATAGATGAAATGATATATTTAGGATTTGCACCACAGAATGGAGGGGGTGCTGGATGGGTACAGATGGCACTAAATTAGCCATAACTTCATCATCGTTGCAGTTGACTGATGGTTACTGGGACTGTTACTGTGCGACTCTTAATGCATCTGCCAGTGTTTGAAATTGTCTATGAGAAAAATCATTTTTTGTAAAGTCATGCAAGTTTTCATTTACTCTGTTATATCCCTATGCTTGTTTCAAAATTAAAACACCACTATTACCAAAAATCTTTGACAAGAATGGACACTTCAGAGAAAGGGGCTGCATTTATTTTAAGGATCTGTATGTCCACAACATGACCTTGTTTGCCCTATGTGGGTAACCCCCCAAAATATGCACATCCTAATCCCCAGAACCTGTGAATGGTACTTTATATGACAAAAGGGACTTTGCAAGTGTGACTAAACTAAAGATTCCGAGATGGAGAGATTATCCTGGATCTTCTGGGTGAGCGCAGTATCATCATAAGCGCCTTTATAGAAGGAGGAGGAGAGAGATTTGGCCACAGAAGGTGATGTGACAACAGAACCAAGGGTTGGGGGAAGGCCGTGATGGGGGGCCACAAGCCAAGGAATGGTAACAGCCTCCAGATGCTGGAAAAGGAAGGAAGGGGTTCTCCTCCAGGGCCCAGAGGACCAGCTCTGGGAACACCTCGATTGCAGCCCCATGAGACTCATTTTGAACACCTGACTTCCAGGAATGTAAGATAATAAATCTGTGTTTTTGTTTTGTTTTGTTTTGTTTTGTTTTTTTAGGAGAGCAAGGTACAGGCTTTTATTTAGAGATAAGGTGAAAGGACAGAGCTCCTGGTTCACGCCAGGAGGGAACAAGAGAGTCCCAAATATGTGTTGTTTTAAGCCACCAAGTCTGTGGTGATTTTTCATGGCACCACCAGGGCACTAATACACCCCCGTCTGCAAATCCCAGCGTGCTGGGCAGAGCCGGGAGGCCGCCCCACCGGCTGGATCCCCACTTTCTGCCTGGAAAATGTGTCTCCCAACCAGTGGGCTGGAGTACTGAGAGGGCCCCGTGCAGCACTCCCACGGGGCCAGCCCAGGGCCCCCAGCCCCGCCAGGCCTCTCCCTTCCCCTTCTCCCCCCTCTTGATGTGCTGCCACAACGACAGCTGACAGGAGTACACATTTCCTGGAAAAGATAACACCCCAGGAAAAACAACGTCGCCTTCAAGCTTAGGTTATAAATTAAAGTGGGAGGACAAACAATGCCAAGAGTCAAGGTCTTTGAGGTATTTGTTAATATACATATGTCATTATTATCTCGGAGAGTTGACCCTGATGGGAGTTTTAGGTCTTACCAATGTGAAAGGGGAAAATATTTTTACAATTTGTTTTTTTATCAGGGCACTTCCATGGGTATTTTAAAGCCAAGATTATTACCAGACTGATTAATTCATTTTAACAACCAGTATTTTCTCAGGTAGAGGGAAGAATTCCAAACCAATGGAATGGAATTACGTTACATAGGAAAATGTATCAAGGAAGGGAGGGAGGTGTGATTATTACTTTTATGTGTCAACTTGACTCGACCAGGGATGCCCAGATAGCGGGTTAAACACTGTTTCTGGGTGTGTCTGTGTGGGTATTTCCCGAAGAGATTTGCATCTGTGTCAGTGGACTGAGCAAAGCAGAGGACCCTCCCCAGTGTGGATGGGCACGGTCCGTCCCACTAAGGGCCCGACTAGAGTAAAAGGGTTGAATCCATCTCTGCCTGGGTTGCATATAGTGGCACGTCGGTCTTCTCCCACCTGGTTCTCAGGCCTTCAGACTGGGACTGGCATCTCTACCATCTGTTTGCTGGCTCTCAGGCCTGTGAACTGCACCACTGGCTCTTCCAGGTCCCCAGCTTGACACATTGAGATATATATACATATACATAATTCCGATGAGATTTGTTATAAGAACTAGCTCACAATTATGGAGGCTGAGAATTCCAGATATATATATATATACATGTCTTTCTGTTGGCTCCATTTCTCTGAAGAATCCTGACTAATACAAAAGGAAAGAAAGAAAAGAAAAAGGTACATTGCTCTATAATCCCTCAGTTTTGGAAAGGGTACATAAAGATGTAAAAATCCTCCTCTAAACCCACACCAACCTCAAAATTTCAATCCGTAGATTTACTTACACAAATCTGATGAGCACAGTCCATAAACTCCTGAAACCCTGCCCCTGAGCAATGGTAATCTCATGTCCTGGCTGTGGGCCACAGCAAAGAGATGAGGCCCCAATTCACAGATGGGGAGGCAGCTGCAGAGGAGCAGAGCCCCCTACTCAGGGCCACCTGCTGGTAAGCAGTACAGCCAGGCTTCCAAGTCTGTGCTTGGGCCCAGAATCCGTGCTCCTGTCCCCTACACTCGACTGCCTCTTGACCAAGCACACCTGGGAGACCTCTCACCCCTCGCTTTGGAAATCCAGGACCAGACACCGCAGTTCAGTTTAGGGGCAGTGGCCCCCAGGGAATGCCTCAGCAAGCAGGCCAAGGGGTACAGGATCGAAGCCAGCAGAGGGCTTTAGCTTACCTGGTGTGGCTGTCTACACTATCAGTGCCCCACTTTACTGTGGCATTGGAGGCCTGAATCAAGAATACTAGAAAGCTGGCATATTGGATGGAGAGGCACCATAATTCTGTGTATTTTGACTTCCTGACTGATTCTCAAAGGTTAAATCCCAGGGCTCTGCTCATAGTTAGTCTTGCTCATTTCAAATATTTGGAATGTTCCTTTTGATTATGTCTGCGGCTCTTAGAAAGATGAGTGCAAAACTTGGAGTCAGGCCCTACAGAAACCCAGAGGAATCCTCATACTTGTCAGCCAAGGGCTGGAGGGACCCTCGGGCTCTGTTTCCCAGGAGCTCAGTCCAGGCGGGATCCGGGCCCAGGCAAACAGCTTCTCCAGCCTGGGCGAGTACAGCTGAGTGGCTGGTTCTGGGGCTTAGATAAAAGCTGGAGGGGGTGCTCAACTGAGGAGGGGGTGGGGATGGGTTCTCATAATTGGCTCTGTGTACATGAGAGAGCCTCCAGCTCAGGGCTGACAGCACTCGATTTCTGCCCTCAGATGTTGAATCTAAGCCAGTGATTTGCTGGTTGCTTAACAGCACCAAGAACTGCCTTAATGTAAGTCAAGGGCACCACCAGACTTTCCTTTTGATTGTATTACCCTTTTAAGTACTTAAGGCAAACAGCGATTGTCCTTTCTAGCTGTATTCGGCATCTTGTCTTTTAAGGGGCCCGGGTACCCATTTTCCTGTCCTCTGCAGGGGCCACCCTTGACCTGCTCTGGGAGCAGGACCTCCACCTTGCAGCTCTGTTTGTTTTGGAGTTTTATCAAGGAAAGACAGGATGGAAAGTTTTCCTCGCCTGCTGATGTCAGGCACAACCCCCTGATCTTTCTCTCAGCCACACAGCTAGGAGGAGCAGGCAGGCCTTGAACCTAGAGACCCATGGACACACTGCGATGACTACAGAAATCACTTAGGCAATCTCCGCATAGGGATTCCAGCAGCTCTGATGTGCCACCTCCTGGCACTGCGGACATGGCCCACAGGCCCAATGCTTCTGCCCTGGACTACAGCTACGAGTACTACCTGGACTACTTGGACCTCCTTCCCGTGGATGAGAAGAAGCTGAAAGCCAACAAACGTGAGTACCTCAGCAAGCAGGCCAAGGGGTACAGGATCGAAGCCAGCAGAGGGCTTTAGCTTACCTGGTGTGGCTGTCTACACTATCAGTGCCCCACTTTACTGTGGCATTGGAGGCCTGAATCAAGAATACTAGAAAGCTGGCATATTGGATGGAGAGGCACCATAATTCTGTGTATTTTGACTTCCTGACTGATTCTCAAAGGTTAAATCCCAGGGCTCTGCTCATAGTTAGTCTTGCTCATTTCAAATATTTGGAATGTTCCTTTTGATTATGTCTGCGGCTCTTAGAAAGATGAGTGCAAAACTTGGAGTCAGGCCCTACAGAAACCCAGAGGAATCCTCATACTTGTCAGCCAAGGGCTGGAGGGACCCTCGGGCTCTGTTTCCCAGGAGCTCAGTCCAGGCGGGATCCGGGCCCAGGCAAACAGCTTCTCCAGCCTGGGCGAGTACAGCTGAGTGGCTGGTTCTGGGGCTTAGATAAAAGCTGGAGGGGGTGCTCAACTGAGGAGGGGGTGGGGATGGGTTCTCATAATTGGCTCTGTGTACATGAGAGAGCCTCCAGCTCAGGGCTGACAGCACTCGATTTCTGCCCTCAGATGTTGAATCTAAGCCAGTGATTTGCTGGTTGCTTAACAGCACCAAGAACTGCCTTAATGTAAGTCAAGGGCACCACCAGACTTTCCTTTTGATTGTATTACCCTTTTAAGTACTTAAGGCAAACAGCGATTGTCCTTTCTAGCTGTATTCGGCATCTTGTCTTTTAAGGGGCCCGGGTACCCATTTTCCTGTCCTCTGCAGGGGCCACCCTTGACCTGCTCTGGGAGCAGGACCTCCACCTTGCAGCTCTGTTTGTTTTGGAGTTTTATCAAGGAAAGACAGGATGGAAAGTTTTCCTCGCCTGCTGATGTCAGGCACAACCCCCTGATCTTTCTCTCAGCCACACAGCTAGGAGGAGCAGGCAGGCCTTGAGCCTAGAGACCCATGGACACACTGCGATGACTACAGAAATCACTTAGGCAATCTCCGCATAGGGCTTCCAGCAGCTCTGATGTGCCACCTCCTGGCACTGCGGACATGGCCCACAGGCCCAATGCTTCTGCCCTGGACTACAGCTACGAGTACTACCTGGACTACTTGGACCTCCTTCCCGTGGATGAGAAGAAGCTGAAAGCCAACAAACGTTGAGTCCTGAACCAGGGCAGCAGCCAGGCGGGAGCCAGGGTTGGTCCACATGACTCATTAGCTCCAAGAGATGCCATGGGTGAGCCAGAACACAACCCTGCACACATAGGTCCATGTGGACATGGGGAAAGTGTATCTGTTATCTTCTACAACAGGTTTGGAAATAACCTGCTAAGAAACTAAGACATTTAGGGAGCAGAATATGCTTTTAAGAGAGATCTCTTGATAGAGTTTGATTGGTGTGGGGTTCCAATAAACCAGGTGAGTTTCTTCAGATTGTGGATTTCATGTTTTCTCTTGTTTCTGTACATTTGGGGGAGTTACTATGTCCACCCCTAAGATGTATGACTTACTAATGTCAGTTAAAATACCAACCAATGTTTAGTCTTTCTGGTCTCAGGAAGGACAATCTGATCTAACAACCTTTTGCTCATTACCCTCCATTCTTTATTTCTCAGGTAAGTTGGTACCTGGTGGATAGTCTTCCCTGATCTGATTCTTCCATCTACTCAGCCATGATAACAAGACAGTGGAGGAAAAGAGCATGAAAAGCAAATCAAACCAAAAACAAAGTCTCAGTACTGAGCAGCCATCCTCATCTATCCCGGGTCTCAGCTTCCCTGGGAGTTACATGCTGTGCACTCACATCACATGTCTGACTCTAGAAGGACTGGGACGCTGATGCTTTTCATATGAAAAGAAAGGTGATCTTTACACAATCGTTCTAGACTGACATCCTCTTGCATGTTAGGATGAATGAAGGAGCAGACCCCTGGCAAGGCCCTTGGGGAAAGGCATCTGGGATGTCTTGTTAGAAGCCCCCCTGTCTCCAGTTTCATTTACAGCTTCCAGAAGTGCAGGCACACATCTGTGCTGGCTGAGCACTTACTGTGTGCCAAGCATGGTACTAAAGCTTTTGGGAGGATGACGGGCTTGTTGTGTGTTTTCTGGTGCAAGGTATGTATCATGAAATTAAAATGCAGATTTCTGCCTATACAGCTCACAGTAAGGAAGACATACAGTGACAGGGAGAAAGTGGCTGGGTTGAAATAAAAGCACACTCATATATACTGTCAAAAGTTCAGAACTTCAGGTACATATTGATCTGGACAAAATGGAGACTTGCATTCATAGAAGAATTTTTTAAGTTAACAGAAATTAAATAAAATTCTGGGTCAGCCTCAGATACACCCTTTCATGAGCCAGACATCTCCTTCTGTCGCCCCACTCTCCCCCTGCTTTGGGTACGGAGACAGTTTGCAGTTTTAGAACCTTAGAACCTATAATCTCAAGCTTCCACAGCCCCCACTCCCCACCTGCAAATCACTTCAATTTCCGGATGAAGGAGCGGATCATTCTCTAAACTGTGTGGGTTTGAAAAGACAGTCTTTGTCACTGAACTAGGGGTGGACATTTACAGCCCGGTGAGCAGAGAAGTGAGATCAAATAAGAAACTCCTCTCCAAACTGCCAGACCCAATAAAGACCATCTCAGGGAAGAAACTTGCCAGACAGGACAGTGGCCTCCTGTATGAAGAGTAAACATCTATTGGCATTTTAAGAGAAATTATTTATGTTACATATTTAGGGGTGGACAAAAATGACTTTCTCCCAAATTTACATACAGACTGAAAAATGTGACCCCAACAATTTGAAGCAACTCACCTAGCTTACTGGAACCCCAAACAAATTAAACTCTTTCAATAAGTCCATCTTCAAAGACTATTCTGTGTCCAAAGTCTTAGTTTCATAGGAAGTTACTTCCAAATTTTTTACAGAGGATGTAAAATATGATTTTGTACCCAAAGCCCTAAACGCCGAGTCTTTGACACTGTACACTGTAGGTGTGTGTTTACTTACATACATGTATAACAATTAACAGTACTATACACAGCAGTCAAAGTAGTATTACTCCATTCAGGTTCCCAAATCTGTTTCCAGCATGTGTAAGTATGTAGGAGCAGGTCTTTGCATACATAACACCAAGCAATTCTCAACACTAGCAGGGTGAACTCAACTAAATTCTGATGCTATCTGCCCTGAGACAGCACCAAATTCCCCAGGTTAAGGGCTCTGTCCTACAAGCCTGCCCTCCATCCCTAACTCGAGGGCAGTTGCAAGCCCAGGCAGCTAACCTGTGCTTCGGCCCTACCGGCTACAAGTTAGAGGTTCCAGCCACCTCCCCCTTGGGTTTGATTAATTTGCCAGAGGGGCTCACAGAACTCAAGGAAACACTTACCTTTACTAGTAAAGGATACAAATTAACAGTCAGATGAAGAGATACATAGGGCAAGGTCCCAAGTAAAGGGGCTGCTATTCTTGTGGAGCTTGGGGCCTGGCTCAGCAGCAAGTGGAGGCAGTCTGGTTCCTCAAGTTCAGAAACTCTCCCTCCAACTGAGAAGCAGGAGCAAACCGAGCAGAGAGCGATAAGCCCTCCTCAGGGGTTTCTGTGAGGGCCATTGCATAGTCATGACTGACTAAATCATTTGACTAAATTTCACTCCGTGTTTCCCCCTCAACAATAATCCTAAACTGGCCCAGCAGCTAGCTACCTGCTCTGGGAAAAAGCCACTTCTGCCACCCTGTTCCCCAGGTTGATGTCAATGGAAAAATATTCCCAATGGCCACAGCTGAGGGGCTGGAGGGGCGAGAACACCTCTACTCAGGGCCTTGTTTGCACAGTACTTGGGGGCCCGTACTTCCCATCGCCGTTGGCTCATGTGCGGTTCACTTACTGATGTGCGTCTCCCCCTCCGGCAGACGTGGTTGTCATTGCCTTCTGGGTGAGCCTGGCTGCCCTCGTGGCGCTTCTCTTCCTCTTCCTGCTCTGCATGTCCTGCTCAGGCTCCCCACAGACGAGGTAGGTAAGGAGTGTGGGTGTGGAGGGAGCTCGCCTGGTGAAATGACCCTGGGTCCAGATGGGGGGGGATATTATTTGGCCATAAAATCGGAACAAAGCACTGATTCACACTCACCATGGGTGAACCTCAGAAACACTGCTATGTGAAAGAAACCAGACACCAAAGGCCACACATTGTATGACTGCAATGATAGGAGATTTGTAGAATGGGCAAAACTCTAAAGACAGAAAGCAGATTGGAGGTTGCTAGTGGGTACAGGGTTTCTTTTGGGATGACAAAAATATTCTAAAACCGATTGTGAGGACACCTGCACAACTCTGACTTGGCTGGAGATCACTGAAATTTACAGTTTGCACAGGTGAACTTTATTGTATGCAAATATATCTCAATTAAGCTACTAGAGGAAATAAAGACAAGATGACCCCATGTGCCATTTAGGTCTTATCAAATGCCTCCCCAGGAAAATGGGACCTTAACTTCAGCATCTGTGACCACTACGCTGTGCCTTAGTGGTTAAGTAGGAGGTAAAACCTAACAGCTCCAAGCCATAATTACAGCTTAGCTCACTACATGTCAATTCTGTACTGGACAATTGGCCCACCGTTTCCAGTCTTCCCTTCTAGCTTAACCTTCTCCCCCCAGGTACAGCCCTATGGCTGTCCTTACAGGGGACCCTATACCACCTCTTTCCCTGCCCTACCTGATGGGACAGGGGTGGGCAGCTCACCCAAAGAGGGCCTATTCCCGGCTAGCCAACACCCCTTGGAACATGTGGCCTTACAAGAGAGCTGAGGGCAGGTGGCACTGAGGAGTCCAAGAGGAAGCCTGGGGCTGGACCAAGAAGTCTCAGGGACTGGAAACCATGGGTCAGTATGGACACTGGTAGCAGAGAGAGGAGCAGAGCCGTTCTGAGAGGAAGGGGTGAGGTGCCTGGATGCCCCAGAAGGCAGCAGGACAGGCAGCCCCTCTACCCAATGGGGTCCCGCTGCCAGGTGGGTGAGGGCCTGTGGATCTGCTGCACAGGCCCACCTGAGGGGCCTCTGCTCTTCCACCCTTCCCCCATCCACCCTGCCCACAGGGTCTCAACCCCCAGGGATACACCCTCCAGCTCATTTCTAGTGCCTTCCACATGTGGAAGGCTGGGACCAGCTTTTGAGCAACGAGGAGGCCCACTCTTTCAGAACTCACATTGAATTTGATCAGATTTTTACCCCCAAAAGGTCCTTGGGGGATAAACTACCGGCATCAGCTTTCTCTTCTCCTCTTCCGGGATGACTTGTGGCGAGACCGAGCCAGGGACAGTTTGAAAGTATCGCCAGGGGTCCGCCCGGTGTGGAGTTCCCGGTCGGGGTGCCCACGGGTGGCCGTGGCTGAGGGGTCTTGTGTCCGCCGGGCCACAATTCTTCAGGGCAAACGTCCGACCCTGTTGGTCCTGACTGGCCACGTGGCTCACGAAGGAAAATGCTCTGAGCTTTGCAGCAGAAACGACCACTCGGGGCGGCCACGCGCAACCCCAGCAAGACCCAGAAAGAGCTATTTCCAGAGAAGTTTCTCTTCGCGCGCGAGACACATGGGTTCATTCTAATGACTGAGAGGAGGGCGGGCCCTCAGGGGACGCGGGTGTCTGCGTGCACCGCTCTCGGCACCGCGCCTCTTGGCCCTGCCTTTACCTTCAAGGGTGCCGCCCCCATAACCCCAGGACCCCAAGGCGCGGCCGACCGGCGGTTCCGCCAGGAGGATGGGCCTCCGCCCCCGCGCCGAGGCCAGGAGTCGCTCAGAGAGCGGGGACTCTTGCCCGCACGCAGGCAGCTGGGCCCGGATGGCAGCGCGACCACCCTCGCGCGGAGCAAGGAGAGACCCCCCACTCCACCCGCCCTACGCCACGGGAACGGACCCGCGGGAGGCGCCACCTCTGGGGACAGGCTGCGGTCTAGGGCCCCGCCCGCTCTGCCTCCTCCCCCAGCGGACCTCTGTGAGCTGGGTGGCCGCTCCCTGGCTCTGGCCCGAGAGGTGTCTCCTCCGTCGCGCCCTTCCCACGTGCTATGGGCGTTAAGAAGGGGGACAGGGCAGCCCCCAGGAAGGCCTGCTCTCCCGCCGGCTTTGACACCTGCCTCCCCTGTGCTCTGTCCCCAGGAACAATGTCCAGCACCAACGAACGCGCCGCTGGAGCCCCGGCCTCAACTGTCCCCTCTGCCTCCGGAGGTACCTTCTGCGCACAGGGCATGTCGGGGACCCGGCGGGCTCCACCAAGCTTGGTGGAGGAACCAGACAGCAGAGCACCCGGCCCTGAGCAGCAGCTGCAGCCAGGAGCCCCTCTGCCTCTCCCACCGCTGCCCACAGCCCGAGGCTGCTCTCCTCGGGAACTGGCCCTGGATGGGGACCCCAGAGCATCAGCTGACGTCAGGAACAAGCCCAGAGAGCGTTCCCCAGGAGACAGAACCTCTCTCCATTGTAGAACTAACACCAGCAAACTATGGCCATTGCTGAGTGAACCGGTGAACGAGGACCCCCCTGGACACACGCGTGTGCTCTGAAAGCCTGTTTACATGCATCAGAAAGTGCAGCTAGGTCAAGGACTCTACCAGGTAGCGTGTGATCGGCATTTTACCCAGAGCTTGTAATAATAGCCCACAGCATAGGCAGGCAGTAGCTGCCAATATTGCTGGTTTTATTAAATGCACCCAACCTGCTTACTTACTGCTTATGTTTGCTTTGGGAAGGATAGAAAAATAAAATCTTTATGAATTAATTAAAAATGTCACTAATCTTTACTATGCCACTTCTTAGCTTCAACTATTACTGCTGTCCTATTTCCTCAACCCTGACCTCACTGGGCCCATCTGTACCTTTTCTAGGACTCCCAAGAGTGCCTGCTGAATTCCGTCCTCCACTGCCGCCCACCATGACCAACAGGGGGCAGTGTGTGTGCCCTGCCAGGCCAGGCACCAGAGTCACACTTCAGCCTGCCCAAAGCCTTTCAAAAACAGAGCCCAAGGAGGTTGTCTTCCCTGGAGGGAGCAGTCAGGCCCAGCAGGAAGGACCTAAGCCCAAAGGGAGAAAATCTGCCTCCGAATGCTGTCACAGAACGTCTTTTAAGCTGGTACAAAGGGTCCCATTCTAGATGAGACCATGTGACCTCCGATCTGAGACACCGTCACCTCCACATGGATCTGGTCCTCTGGTGCCCAAAAGCCTGCCCCTGGCAGGGAGCCAGCCCCACACTACAAGGCCCTAAAGCCCACTCCAGCCTAGGTGGCCAAGAGAGGATCCCCCAAGTATCACGTGCCACACTTGGGCAGTGGGTTAGAAGGAAACACGTGGCTTCTCCAATTGGAGGCTAAGTGTAGGATTCTGACCTCAGAATATTCTCCAAGAACACTGACACGGGTATTCTGGGGAGAGGGAATGTAAATGCTTTCTAGATAATGAGCCCGGTTTGTGGTAAGGGGACCAGCAGGTAAGCATTACCCATATCTTGGTTAAGAATCTTAAGTCATTTAAAAAGAGTCTAAAGAACACTGGAGGCATACAAAGTGTAAATGTTTAAGCCAAAACCAAGCCATTCTTGGTGCTGACCATGGTATTCAAGCAAATAAACACTATCTCCCAGGTGACAGAGAACGCCGCTGTGCTGGCACATGACAGTGGCCAGGCAGACCCCCAAAAGCCAGGGTGTGCGAGAGGGACATGGCTGTAAGCAGAGCTTTACTGACAGGCTGGAATTTCATCTGTGAAACCATCATATTCGCCATCTGTCAGCTACAACCACCAATTAATACAGGAACCTTAGGAGTCAAATCCTCACCTCTAACATGCAGGTCTCCGTGGAATAAAAATAGCCCTCCAACATCAATTAAGCAAAACACAAAAATCTAACATAAAATAAACATTTATTAACAAGTTATAAAATTCAAAATCCCCTCTTTGAAACAAAATTAAAAAAAATACAGTCTGACTTCCCAAAGCAGAGGGCACATCAACTCCATACTTTAAGGATTTAGTGTAACATCCTTTCAATAAAATAATTAACACTGGCAGGAGCTTCTTATTGAAAAAGTTATACCAACCTTTCTTTTGACTTCTTATAGAATAAGAAAGCTTTAAACATCTCTTCATGCCCTTTTATCTAATAATTTTTGGACACTTTAGAATTAATACCCACAAATCCCTTAAGCGCTCAGAAGTGATACCTCAACTTGAAGTATTTCCTTTGGAGAATGATGAACCCCACAGGAAGGGTCTTGCCTCACTAAACACTGGATGGGCTCATGGCCCCAAAGACCCCCATGCCTACTAGGACTGTGGAACCAGTTCCTTGAGTTCATTATTTATCGGTCAGTTAAATAGTCCACTTTTCTTGTCAGGAAACCAGCAATATCCAGAGCCCATCCTTTTGCATGCCCTCCACAGAAACGTTTAACTCAAACGTCTAGAACCTGGCACTGCAGACAGCAGGCAGGGCGTCAAGCATCTGGGGCTGAGGCAGCGAGGTCCCTGCAGAGCATGAAGATGGCCTCCTTGTTCCCACTTGGCACATCCTCTGCAGAGTCACAGACCATCCGGACGTGCGTTAGGAGGGTGTCTGGCCGCTGGGCCCCCAGCCAGATGTCCTTAATGTACAGAGACACCAGGAATGCTGCTGCAGCTGAGGAAGAGGTGACAGGGCCATTAGGATGCAGATCTATTCAACTGGAAAGCAAGTCATTCTGCCCACACACATGGGGACACTGGGGCTTTGATAAGGCACCCAAATGAACTGTGTCACATACTTGGGGCAACCTGAGATAAGCATGCATAAAACACACTAATGCTGTCTTCTCTTAACTATTGGGTTAACTTTTTCTGTTCCTTTTAGGATGGATCTTTTTATTTGATGAATGTGTTGGAATGTAAAGAAGTTGAAACAAGCCAGGTCCCCTCTTGGTTTGACCAACAAGCAAGAGCCAGCACTGACTTTTGCAAAGAGCGTCTCAGAATCACTTGACATCACTTCCTCGGTGGCAGGGTGAGGAGACCATGCCCCACAAACAAAGATTCAAGTCCCTGACTGAAGCCAGGTGAGGGAACAGGTCGGCCCTGCAACCAGGTGAGTTCACCTCCTGGGCTGCTGGCCGGTCCCCCTTGTGCCTCAGTGAAAGGGACAACCCTCCCAGGAGGAGCCACACCACGGTGACAGCCTCCCCAAGCCTTTGCTGATCATTCATTTATGCGTTTAAATGTTAATTAAGCACCTGCTACCTGCCAAACACCTGAACTGCATTGGTGTGCTCATGCATCTCTGGCTTATGAACACACCCATGTGCATATAAACATACATGTACTTCTGTCCACACGCAGACATCTGGCCACGATATGAAACATTATTTTTCACTTGGGTGACAGCTGACACATAGGAAAGCCACTGTTCTTCAGGGTGGGGGCCCCCCGTGGACACAAGGTTGGGAAGAGGGCACCTTTGTTCCCATCAACATGACCACTGAGAGCAAAGGGCAAAGACTTCCTCTGTCTTCACCCTCAGTGCCCGCGATCCCCAGCACTGTGGCAGGGGCCTGAGCACTAACCAAAGTACCTGATGGGCTCTAAGGGACAGAGTCACCCCAGGCCTCAGCCCCTCCTGCACTTCTGCAGCCTCTGATCCAAGAACCAGCATACCTCGTGTGGCTTCATCCTCCTCCTTCAGAGAAGCCAGGTGGAGAGCCTCGACTGCTGGCCGGAGGGAGCTCCCTGCTGGGCCCCGGGCCGCCACAAGGTGCAGCATGACTGTGTTCAACAGGCAGGCCACACTCTGCGCAGGCCTGGACAGACCCTCGGTACTGCAGAGCCGGCTGTACAGCTTAAATATGCCACTCCTCACACGACTGTCCCCAAGAAGGTCAGCCACGATGATCGGCTGTGGCAAAATGTGGCTCTTAAGCCAACCAAGGAGTCCAGCAGCCTCTGCCCTGCTGAGTGGGTTGTCGGCCACTGAGCACAGCACCCAGGTGGCCGCCAGGGAAGCAGCGGCGTGCACAGGGCCCGGTGCACTGCTCTCAGGGGTGGCCCTGTCTGCGGGCTCCTGAGCAGGCTCACAGCTGGGGAACACTGGCCCCCAGTGAGTCAATATGGACCTCAGGAGGCCCTTGCATGTCTCCAAGCTGGATGCCTGCAGCTCAGGGTCAGCTGCCTCCTCTGCCTCCCCAGGCCTCCTCCTTCGGCCCCAGGGGCCTCTGGCTCGGGCTGCCACCACAGGCCTGTTCTTATCCTTGAGCATTTCTGTTATACACAGAGAGAAGAAGGACAGTGAGACTGGTGTCCCTTCCCCATACGGACAGGGGAGGCAGCTCACAGGCACTGAGCACTCGGCCAGCAGGACTGGCTACTCTGCCTGCGGCGTGGGTGGAGCTCAGCGTCTGACTGTGAGCATCATCACTGTTACTACAGTGCCATTTAATCCCTGCCGCAACCCTCCACCCTTCCCCGGCCTGCCCCTCGCAGAGGCGGACCTGGAGCACGCAGCACCAGGTCCCGGCTCCCTCCTCAGGGCTGGGAAGATGGACATGCACTGTATGTAAGCCTCACCAGCTTTGGAAATGCTGCTGAGGGAATGATGCGCCTGCTCTAAGGGGAAGGAGCACAGTTTGGGGAGCCCACAAGGAGACCCCGGGTCCCGACACTCACTCAGGAGCTCCTTGACTTGGTATTTCTCAATGGCTGCTCTCAGGTCCTCTTGGAGCGCGGTGTCCCTCCCGATGAGGCTCCACTTGTGCAGGAGGATGAGAACGTCCTTGGTGGACAGCACTGTCTCATTCACGGTGAAGCGGTCCATGTCTCTGAAGGCCTGTGTGACGGTGGCCCGGTACTTAAGGACAGAGTCGAGTGCCCCGAAGAAGCTGGCCAGTTGGGCAGAGGGCAAGGCAGGCCTGTGGGGAGCCAGTGTCACACCCTGAGCAAAATGCTTCCTTGTCCTGCAGCCAAGGACCGGGGTGGCCAGTGAACACCACCCACCCAGAGACACAAACGCTCCGCCCATGACAGGGAGTTTCCTTAGCAACAGACATGGGACATGGACCCCTAGCACACAGACCAGGAAGCGAGCTGCTCCCGGACAGGTAGAAAGGGGACCAAAGTGTGACCTGCATCCTGGAGGCACAGGAATCTCCTTGAAAACCATGGCCAACAGTGCGAGCTGGGCAGAGGGCCTGAGGGGCAGAGCACCAGCGCCTACCAGGACACGCGGGGACTGCTGGCCCCTCCCCTTCTCGTGCGTTCAGATTCCCGGGAAAAGGCTTGGGAAAGCCCGGACAACCCCAGCCATGGTCCCGAGGATGGGCCCCGGGGAAGATACATACCTGTGAGCTCTCCCCAAATGAGAAACATGGGGGCTCTTTGATCCTGACTCAATGGTTTACCCGACAACAGCACAAAATCAAATGCCCTGTTCCTTCCTGGGACCATCTTCATTCTGAGGGTACATTCCACTGGCTACCAATATACCTCTGAGCCCAGATCGGAACCCCAGGTGCTCCCTGCAAGTCGGAGAGAACTTAGCTCTCCTGAGGAAACCAAGAGCACTTTTCTAAGGGGTCAGATGAAAATACTGAAATTGTCAAGAAAATTCAAGTGCAGGCTGATGAAGCAGGGCCAGTCTAGGAGCACCCATTTTGGGCAAAGGTTGTGGGCAATCTGCTCTGTCTAGAAAACATCACTTTGAGTACCTGAATGAACCATGCAGGTAGATGATCTGCCTGCTAACAATGATCAGGTATGGCCTGTTGCAGGTTTTTAAAAGCGTGTTCAGTTCTCAGTGTCTTCCTGCCTCATAAAGTTGAGGTGGAAACGAGGAAACGCTAACATACCGGCCTGATATCCCCACAGCTGATGGCATCCCTCTGGCCCAGTGCCCACCTGTGCAGGCGGGACCAATGGGAAGGCTGAGAGGTGATGGCCACAAGTGACTGACACCAGGGGCCTTACCTGGCGGGCGAAGGGCTCACCTCAGGTGCTTCATGAGCATGATGAGAACATAAAGGAACTCATTGACCAAGTGCAGGGCGAGCAGCTTCAGGCGCTTCTGGGACCCAGGCTTGCAGCGGGGCTGGCTCCCCGACTCCACGCCTCTGTGTCCCAGGTTGGTCACCCACAGAGTGTGCAGCAAGGAGATTATGCTGCAGAGCAGCGGGGTCTCCAGAAACCTGAAGCCAAAGAGGAAGGCTCACTCTCTGTCCCATCACCTTTGCTGACAGCTGCTGGGTGAGAGGTGGCGGGAAGCACGGAAGACTGTGACTGTGGGGGCAGTACCAAGGGGTGGCCTGGCAGCCTCCCCCACCAACAATTCTACCTGCTCAGCCCCACAAAAGCACAGGATCTCAGTAAAAAAACGGGGTGCCTGCTGCACAAGTGCAGCTGCAGTGCAGGACGAGGCCCCAGCTCTCCTTTCCAGCCAGACGACCATCCCACGTCCCACACTGGAGGGCAAGTCTGGAGCCACTGTCCCACTCATGCGAACAGCTCTACTTCCACCAGGAAGAGAGGAGGAGCCAGGCATGCCTTCGATACATCTGCAACAGTCTTGGAGCTGATGTCCAACGATTTCAGACTTAGAACATTACTTTTAGAGAAAATTTAAAAATACTTTAAAAAAAATGCACAGAAGGGCCTGGACATTCCTGGGCTTATCAGTGTAGTTAATTCTTTGAAAGAAAGATTCCTCCCCCTAGTGCTATGTGCAGAGACAAGGCCTTCGTCTTTTTAGAC